GAAGTTAAAACATTCATCGGCTCTACTTCACCTCATTCTTCTTCCTCCCCTTACTTCCTTCTTCCTGCCTTTTCTCTCTCCCCTTCCCTCCTGCCTCTCTAATTCCCCCCACCCCTTTTTAAGAGGAAGTCTACTGTTTGGTTTACTTTGTTTGTATCTTTGAATAGAGCAGCAAGTCTTGTTGACTACTTTTTTCCCCTCTTTCTTTTTTAAGATAAAAGGGCAGCTACAATACAAATTTAATTGTGGTAAGAGTATCACAATTAAGTATAGCGCAATTCTCTTTAGCACAGGGCATGTTTTCTTTTGTAATTTTCAAAAGAGTCTTTCAAAATTATTGCTGTACTTGAGGTATACCTAGAATCCTCTTTAGGGCAATGATTGTGACATTCCTCAGTGGTGAACTCATTTCGTTACTCATTTTAAAAACACACATTCTGTTTGTCTTTTCACGCTGGTCACAATGAGATTTAAAATAGACTTGTCATCACCTACTTAAGGGTTATGAATAGCACTGCCTTGAAAAGGCCCGGTGGAAATTTGTGTAGAAATTGAAAGTGAGGCGTCAGACTCAGAAGCTACTAGCAAGGCAGACACAAAAACTAAATTGGAGGCCAAATGGCCTAAGTATTCTGAACATGGAACACAGTGAGAACCCCTCCCCACCGTGCTCGCAGTCAGATGCTAGGCGTCACATCCAGATGGAGAAGTAAAGTGGAAGGATATGACCTAGCAGAATCTACTGAACTAAAAGGATTAGCAATCCAGAGACCATTCTCGGTACTGTGGTAGATTGAATTATTTACTCCATTCTTCATCCCTTTCTGTACCTGGGCCCTTTGCCAGGTGGCTTTGTAGTCCGTACTACTAGAGGCAGAGTATATTTCTCCATCCCTCGACCTGGGATTGGCCTACGTTCTGCTGGAATGCCAGTAAAAGTGACAGTCACCTCCAATTTAAGGCCTTAATAGGCTTTGTAGGCTTCCACTTGTCCTTGCCATGAGAAGGACATGATATGGCTAGCCCACTGGTCCAAGGAAAGAGTAAGAAATATGAAACAGAGAGAAGATGAAGTAACTGATCTGAGTATGGATCAGCCAAACCCCAGCTGATCCAAAGATGCCTAAATAGGAGTAAAAGAAAGCTACTTTAAGCGCTGGAGTTTTAGAATATTCGTTAGGCAGCATTGTTTTTGGAATCCTTGATTCACACAAGCACTGTTTCTAAATGTGGCCTGTTTGAAGAAAGAACATGAATAATAATGAATAGAAAGTGAGAAAGTGAGTAGATAATGGTTTTCTGAAAATGAGGACAGGCCTTGTATGTATGGTTATAAGAGGGGCTGACATTGCCCCCCATTTTGAATATCCTTCCCTTTACCTGGGTCTTGGTCAGGGGTAAAGAGAATTGCAGAACCTTGCCTTCCTGGCCATGTTGGAAACCACTGATCTGTCCAGTTTCAATGATGACAGACACTGGCCTCTTTGGAAAGCGACAAACATGTCAAGTCTCATTTCAAAGAATATAAGATAATTAAATAAGAAAAGACCTTCGAGACAAACTATGCCCGACAGAAGTTAAACCACACGCTGCTCACAAGGCAAGCCATTCAATTACAGGTCAAGTGCTTCAGTTAAATGATTAGATTCTCACGGAAATTGGCCTTTTGACTTTATCTCTTGTTCCCAAACCTTCCTTCTAAAGCCATGTGGAATTGGTCTCTTGACTCTTCCAATACGGCATTTTAAAACACAGCTGCACATCCTAAGTCTTTCCACATCAAACTCCCAGGGTTCCTCACAATTTCTTTTGACATACTATATGCAGCATTATGAACACTCTCTTTTAAACACCCACTTGCTTGTCCATCCTTCACAAAAAACTAAATGCAGAGTTAGAGATGATGCTTAAGGTGTATGCAGAACATTGCTACGTAGATGATGAGAGACTAATTACTTGTGGTTATCGGGACATTATTTTTTCATTATTTATGCCTATTAAGTTAAAAAAATTTTTTTTTCCTATAAACTAATTTGGTTTACCCTCCAAATATCTTTCTTTGTCTCAAGGAGACTAATGATTATTTTCTCTTTTAATAATAATAATACCAACTCCAATGGGCTCCCTTTACTGAGAGCCTACTAGATGCCTGGTACTTCTCCTCTTCCAGTTCACTAATCCATACAAACCTGAGAGCGGTCTTATCATCTCCATGTAAAATGAGGACACAGGTTCAGAGTAGGAGTGTCGCTGGCACTAGGTCACACAGCCTCACGGGGCTCAAATTCGGGCCATCTGATTCCATGCTCATGGTCTTTCTACCATCCTCACTCCCTCACCTCATTTTATCTGGCAAGGGAAAGGGCTAACTACGACATAAGAATAGTCAGGAGCAAAACATGGGTCACTGCTCTCTCATTCTGAGCACCAAACAGAAAGGTACCTCTTTGCCCAGTTTGAATGAAAAGGCCTCTCATCATGTGACATTACAAAGCCATCAGCTGAAATACAACCATTGCATGATTGACGTCAGAGTCAGATGGAAAGGAATCAACAGAAGCCAGTTTTGTGATTAGCCAAGGTTTTCTCTTCTGATTGTACAAGGTTTTCTCTTCTTCTAGACAGCCTGCCTAGAAGAACGGCCTCCCAAGGATGTCCATGTCCTAATCCCCAGAACCAGTGAATATGTTATGCTTCATGGCAAGGGGAAATCAAGGTTGCAGATGGAAATAAGGTTGCAGACCAGGTGACCTCGAGATGGGAAGATTATCCTGGGTTATCCAGGTCGGTCCAGTGTAATCACAAGGGTCCTTGGAAAGAGGGAGAGTCAGGACCACAATGTGAGAAAGATGCAAGCTGCCACTACTGACTTTGGACATGGAAAGGGGCCACAAGCCAACGTGCAGCAGCTTCTAGAAGCTGGAAAAAGCAAGAATATAGATTCTCCCCTAGAGCCTCCAGAAAGGAACGCAGCCCTACTGTCACCTTGATTTTAGCCCAGTGACACCTATGGAAAAGTTTTGGCCTCCAGAACTTTAAGGTACTAAATTTGTGTTGTTTGAAGCCACTATTTGTCATCATTTGTTACACTAGCAAAAAACCACTAATACACTGGCAGGAAATGTATGTACACTGGTTGCTAATGACTCAAGCTACCCCTTTCTCCAGAAAATTTTCTTCAACAGATCATAAGCCACCTTGTCCAATGGGTAATGAAATGGCATCTGTCATGGGAACAGGAGGGAAAGCCACTGATACCAGGATATAAAAGGCTGGCTTCAAGGTAGGACCGACTAGTGCAATTCATGTGCCAAAGCTCCCGCAGGTCAGGCTGACAGAGACTCCAGCTGAGACCATGTCCTCGTTTAGCTCTTTTCCTGCTCCGTCCACCTCTCTCCCTCTCCTTTTTCCTGATAGCACCAACCCCCTAACGCCCTCAATAAATGAGATATAACTGTCATACTCAGAAGAGATGCCAGGCCACAGGGAAATGGTTCTGAGGGGGAGATGCGGGGTTGAGAAGGAGGGACATCTGTCAGGTGAGAGGAGCTGGAAGGTGAGCAGAACATATACTAGCTTTTTGCCTAGGGCCATACCGGGCTCTGGCCCCAGCTTGACTATCTAAGGCTCTTGACTTTAAAAGCGCTCTTCTCTGAAGCATTCATTGTCAAACCTGAAGCTGAGTGTCCAGGCTATAAGCGACTAGGAGCCACAGCATAGGCCTGGCGTGGGGACCAAGGGGTGGAGAAGACTTGTCTCTCACATCCCTTTCCTCTCTGTTCTTCCTGGCACTCTAAGCATTCAAATAGCTACACATCTGAGGTATTAGCACCATCTCAGGAAGATAATCTACAACTGGATGGCCTTGCATCTGCTGATTTTCAGCCTTATTTTCCTCTCCTGATTCCAGCTTCTGCCCTTCAGCTTCTCCTACTGAGGTTGGCAGGGGATTGGGGGTGGGGGTACATCCTCACACTCCCTGAGAGCAGACATTGGCCTTTCCTTTCCTCATGTTCTGTGGTGACTGGTCAATTACCAGGATACACTGCTGCTCTTGAAACCACTGGTTTAAATTCACTTGAGTCCCACCAAATTCCCTCCGTCTATTTGGTCACTGAGTTTCTGACACAGGAGACACAGAAGAATGTGAACTGAGGAATCTCTGTGCATGTGGCTCTGAATGGCCTACGTTTTCCTTTTATCTGAGGCATCACAGGTCACTCTTTTCATCTGGGTACAACCCTAGGACTCTCAGGCTATCACCATTTCTCTGAGGTACCACAAGTGAGTTCTTTCCAGGTTCAGAGCTGTAATATTGGCTGAATCACCTTTCTTGCCTGGTTCAGTACCTCCCCAAGGTCCCCTCATATGAGAATCATCCTTCCCACACCTGCCTATCTGGGTCATTCACCTGGAATTCACCAAGCGATAGGCCCTTCCCCAGGCTGCCCCAGGTAGACATCGCCACACACATGTAGTGGATGCTGCCATGTGGCACTCCGATCCCCCTGCAGAGCTGAAGCATTCGATCCCCAAATGCTCAGTGTCTTTGCCTCCCCCTGATTCCCTCTCTGCTAATTGCCCTCAGCCAAAAAAACAAAAAACAAAAAAAAAACAACAACAAAAAAACTGCTTTATTCAAAATCATGTCCCCTGCCCAGGGGCTGCCCATACCCAGCAAGAGGTGATGCAGGGGTATGAAGTCCCAGATCTTCAGTCTCAATGCAAGTTACACTATCTCAAGGGCTAGAACCCCTGGGGGAATCCACTGAGGGCTTTGTTACAACTGTAGCACAACCTAGGTTCTCCCTCTGCCCAGTCTTGCTTCCTTTACCTTTTCACAAATACTGTTTCTCCAAAACACACCCAAGCAATCCTCCTGTGTGTACATCTCTGAGGCACAAAGTCTGTCTGCGGGTACCAGAACCGTGCTATACCACTCCCCCTTGGCTTTTCACAGGGCACTGGGACCTGGAGGAGAGGACAGGGGATAGGCTTACCCACGATCATGTGGTTGCAGACATCACAGAAAGTGGGCTTCTTGAAGATGTGTTCCTGAAAGGCATGGGCCTTGCCGCTGCCCGGATGCAGACCAGCCCTGGTGGGTGTGGACGTCAGGCTTCCGGGGGCAGGGAGTGGGCTGGAGTTGGGGCTGACCTCAGCCAGCAGGTCCGCTGGCAGCTTCACGTCGCTGTTGGTTCGCTGGAAGAAGTTGTCAGCACTTTTGCTCCGCAGACTCTTGGTCTTGAAAGAAAGTGATCGTTTTAGTTTCTGGAGCTGCAATGCAATGACAAAACAGACTCTCTTACCATCAGTCGTGCAGACTCATGCTGTGAGGCTGGGGTCCGCTCCACGCACCGCTCGCTTCCCACTGACACCCTTAGCCCCCAGAAGGCTCAAACATGTCCCTGTGTAGGTGGGGTGATGTCAGTGGCTTGAGGGTATTCGGCAGCTGCTCACTCTATCCCCTGACAAGCCAGACTATAGAAAGAGGTTCTGCATTGGCTTAGCTTCTGCCCCTGCTTCTCTTTCTTGCCTCCTTGAGGTCCTACCAACGTGCTGTTAAAATATCCCACAACATTGAGTTTTTGACACCAATGTCTATAATGCTGGGGCTTCTGCTGGCCTTTCTTTCTTATGGTCACTTACCGGCCATTTGTCTCTATACACAGCAAAACGGTAGAAGCCACAGTCAAACTCAGAATCAATCTGGCTAAACTATCCACAGAACACAAACCGGAAACTCTCAAGCCTGCTTGGGTCTGAAGCATATGGATAAGGAATCTGCATATGTGTGTACCTCTGTGTGTGTGTGTGTGTGTGTGTGTGTGTTTGGGGCGGACACAGTGTGGAATTATCTGTCTGACTTTCTCTGCTCTTCCTCCTGCCCTGCCGCTTGTTTTTGGCCATTTGGCAAACTAGACCATTTCTCGTTAGCCTTTGGGACTCATACAGAGGCACCAAAATGGATTTGGAAAAGTACCGACTTCCAAAAGTCTGAATTTGGGCCAATCTGTACCCCCAATCCAGTCCTCGATTTGGAGCTAGAGGGATCTTTTTGAAACACAGATGTGAGCTTTTGAGGCTGTTGTTTAAATTTCTTCACGAAATTTCTTTTGTTCTTAAATTTAAAGAAAAGTTTATTGCCATGGGCTCCAAGGACTGGCAAATTCTGGATCTTGATGAGAGCGTGTACCACTGTCCACCTTGCTCTGCCCTCCCCAGTCACAGTGGCCTTTTAAAAGTCTCTAGTGTTTATCATGCATTTTTATTACCAGCCCTTAGTACATAGTTTTCCCTCTGCCCAGAAAAAAGAAATAAACCACTTAGTAGCTGCTTGACCTGCAATAGGTCACTTTGCCTTTCAGATAGTTCCTTTTGTAATTAAATATCCACGGGGACTTGGCCTGTTGCCTGGAATAAATGTTTATGGCCTGAAACTGCAGGCAAAAAGGTGCTAAGCACTCTATTCTAATAAAGGCCCGAATCAAGTGTGGTCAAACACCCCTACAGGACATATAAGGTGAGTTGATCTGGAGTTGCCAAGCCTAGCCACCTCTGCATCACCTCCCATCCTCCCCGCAACCACCGCCACCAACTTCTATCTAAGATCAGGAAGATATGGAGGTCTTTACTGCTGAGGGTAGACTGCAAGAATGCCATAGTTCTCTACCCTTCCTCGTCCCCATTCTCCTTTGCAATGCGACTTTGCAGCTCCTCCCACCAAAGGTGGAGCATGTTTCCCCACTCCTTGAATCTTGATGATTTTGGCAATTTGACCAATAATATAAAGTGGTAGAAGCAACTTTAGGCCAGTTCCAAGCCCAGACCTCAAGATGCATTGCATGCTTCTGTCATCTCTCTTGGAAATGTGCCAAACTGCCATATGAACAAACCCAACTTAGCCTAAAGGATGATGAGAGATGCATGGTCCAGTCACCTCCCATCACTCAAGTGAGACCCCAGAAGCAGAGCCACCTGCTTCCTTGTAGGGACTGAAGACACTTACATGAGACCCGAAGAACTGTCCAGCTGAGTCCCACTCAAATTATCAACCCACAGAACCACCAACTAAAGAGGTGACTGACCATTTAACATTAAGTTGGGTATCAGTCGTGTGCACACAACACAATGCTGTTCTCCCCACCTTCCTGGCACGTGGTGGGATTATACTTTGCTGCCTATTAGAAGTTGGCTGTGGCCATGTGAAGCCAACTCACCACTTCAGGAAGCCATATAAGGTGAGGCCCTGCAGGGCCCTCTAGAGAAGCCCCACTGGGGCCAGCAATGGGACATTACCAGCCAGAAAAGGCTAGTGAGAGAAGCAACAGCCTCCATAGACAGATCAGAAACAGTGGGCCAGCCAAGACTCTTCTCTTGTCTCTTTTCATCTGCCCTACAGCCCAAACCCACCAGAGGAGCTGGAGCTGTTGAAGAAGGAGGAAGGAGGTGCTCCTGAGTTATTTTGGAATTGTTTGTTACTATACAATAACCCAGTGCATCCTGACCGACGTAGGAGAATGGAGTCATGAGCCCCTGGAAACAGTATTTATTTTGAAAAGGACCCTCTGTCTCCAGAGAAGCTAAGTTAGAGGCAAGCATGAAACAATCACTTTTAGAAACTGAGGCGAGGACATGAAAGCAGCAAAGAGGCAGAACACATCTTTTACACTTCAAGTCCTTCCCGCTATACATCGGCCTGGTGCTGGAGGAATGGAGATTTAAATAGGAGGTGAGATTGAAGTTTTATTTTAGACGGATTTAAATAAAGTGTCCAGGAAGTTAAGGAATCTGCCAATACTTTGTCATGGGCTATGCAAACCCAGGGAAGGGAGGTTTATCAAAACAAATACCATTGTATAGAAAAATAAACTCATTTTCTGTTTCTCCTCCATGGAGTTTAGTTAGTTCAATAAGTTGGCTACTCTTGTCTCAAAAATAGAACAATAACACCTACTCTGATTACATCAGGGGACATTTGTGAAGGTTGCAGAGGATAATGTATGAGAAAGCTGAGAATTCCATGTGATACAAACAGAGGAGGATGATAGGGTGGAAGAGGGGAGGAAGGAGCTGGCATTGTGGAGCTAGCCTGAGTGCTTCACCAGGTGATCCTTCTTCATCTTCCCAATCATTCAATAAAGACTTTGTTATTTTCCCCTGGAGAAGCGGAGGCTGAGAAAGGTTGAGAAACTTGTCCAACATCACACACAGCTTATGTGATTAAAGACCAAGTTTCAAAATTAAATCCGCCTTCCTCTAAACCTCATACTGGTTTGTTGACAGAGGTTGAATGGGGGGCTAGAGGAGAGCTACCATCGCACCCAGGCACATGGAACTACTTCCGGTGGTCAACGAGGGAGAAAAGGGATGTGGAGTGGGAAAGCAAATCTACTTTTGGGAGCTATCACTTTTATTTTATATATCTCAAATAACAAAAGTGCATGCTTTCTTTATCAAAGGGGAGTATCAGACATCACTGTATGGCCTTCTGCTGCCAATGCAGGGGAAGTGCTGGGGTGATGCCTACGTACACGCAGTCTGGTCCCCCTCCTGTGCTCATGTGCTTCCTTCAAACCCTTCCATGGTGTGTTATGTTCCCCAAAAGTTTAGTTTGATGCCAAGAAACCTGGAACATTTTTCTTGCCTTGAAGGATGTGGCTGGAAATTGTGTCAGAGACCTTTGGCGCCTGCCTGCCTCTATAGCTAGAGAATCTGCCTTGGAAGCCAATGTGACATTTGTTATTCAAGTGGACAGTTTAAAAGAAATGCCTACAAGTTAAACGAGTCTGAGCAGTGAGCTCAAAGGAACATGCTTTCTCCAATTATCCCTAAAAGAGCAGAGGCCAAATGAGAACATACAAAATGCAGAAATAGAAGCAAACTCTGATAATAGCAGATGTCACAAAATGGTTAGCTTCCACACATCACTGCCACAACCCAGCTCCATTCTACTTATAATAATAATGGTAAAAGAAACAGATAGTTTTGAGAACTTTACTATATGCTAGAAACTACTCTAAATACTTTACTTCATGTAATCATCCCAGCAACTCTACAAGTAAGAGATCATTCATTCATTCACTTATTAAAATAATTCTCTAATAAACACTTATTGGGTGACTACTGTGAGGCAGACATAGCCCTTGGCTTTAGTAATACAGCAGTGACAAAAGTAAAATCTTTCCCCTTAAGGTTTAACATCTAGTGGGTAGAAACAGAAAATAAATAATGTAAAAAAGATGTATAATAATATAAATTTGGGTAGGGATAAGGGCTATGAAGGAAATTGAAGGCTTCTCTGACAGGTAACATTGGAGCAGAGATATGAAGGAAGTGAGAGTTTAGCTACTTTAGAGAAGAGCATTCTGGATAGTGGGGAAACCAAGGGCAAAAGCCCCTACAAGAGAACAAGGTAGATGTTTGTGAGGAGCACCAAGAGGTTAGTGTGTCTGGAGCAGGGAAATGAGAGAGAGAGAGTAGAGAGGTCAAGGGCCAGCTTCATATAGAACTTGCAGGTCATGGCAAGGGTTTTGGAATTTATCCTAAGGGTGATGGCTTTGAGCAGGGATGTGATAGGGACTGACTCTTATTTTAAAAAGCTATTCCGGCTGCTGTGTGGAAAATAAGACCATAGGAGAGCAAGATGGAAGCAGGGAGACCAGTTGAGAGACCCCCTTGCAATTATCCTGGCGAGAAGTAATTTTGGCTTGGCCTAATATAGTAAGACATGGGGCATGTTTTGAAGGCAGAACCAATTGGGTTTGTTGAGGGGTTGAATGTAGAATATGAGGGAGAGGGTAGTTGAGAATGATTTCAAGCCTTTTGATTTGAGCAACTAGGTGAATGGAGGGACTATTTACTGAAAGGAAGAAAAGTCGGTGTAGGGAGTGGGGTGGGGATCAGAGTTGAGTTTTGGGTAAGTTTAAAATGCTTGGTTTGAATTCTAGTGTTGCTGCCAAGTAGGCAGTTGGATCTATGATTCTGGAATTCAAGGAACAGGTCCAAGCTGCAGTAATGCACTTGGGAGGCATGAGCATATAGATAGTATTTGAAGCCAAGAAACTAGATGAGATCACTACGTATTGAGTACAGACACTGATAAGAAGTGATCTGAGGACAGAGCCCTGGAGCATGCCAATATTTAGAGCTCAAGAAGATTAAGGACAAAGAAATTGAGGAGGGGCCAGCAAGGAAAAAGAAAGATGAAAAAGAGGGATGTTTTAGAATCCAAGGGAAGAAAATGATTTAAGAGAGAGATAATAACCAGCAGCATC